CCTTGCCTTGCATTACAGTGCCCAGATGATACTTTATAAAGTAGTGGTTTACACCATAGGTAGCATTCCGAGTAAGAATGTTCCCAAATAGTGGTCAGACCAGCGTAAGTTCAAGAGATCCACTAAAATGTTGACTCGTTATAATCATAATAATATAAATTGCTTTAGCGAGCTTCTTCATAATCGACCAGACGTTTAGTCAGTACCTTTGCATTTCCTTGAATTTCCAATCCTCTCAATTTCAAGGCTTCCTTCATTACAGCTGGTTTCATCTTTTTGATTTCAATCTTGCTCAACTTGGGGATATCAGCCTTCTTGTTCTTTTTCTTCTTCTTCTTGGCATCCTCTTCTTCGTCATCACTATCATTCTCGTCGGCAAATGCTTGAGCCTTTTGCATACGTTCTTCTTCTATTTGCTTCTCCATTGCCTCTTGTTCCAGTCTCTTTTGTTCTGCTACCGCACGACGCTTTCGGACTGCCTCTAGCTTTGCCAAGTTACGCTTGTGGTCGGCTGCCGATGTCTCTTGGACTGGAGCCTTGGGCGGGCCACCACCGCCACCACTCTTTGGTTTGGAGGTGTTTCCAGCCTCTTCGGTGGCGTCGTCTCCTCCTTCTTCCTCGGCGTCCTCTTCCTCCGCTTCGGCTCGACGTTTGGCTCGAGCTTCTTCAAACTCTTCCAATCGTTGATTGCGTTGCTCGATTTCTTGGGCCGATTGAGCATCGACACGCTTGCCGCCTCCTCGCTTGTTGAACTTTCCTCTTGCCATTTTGTTGTTGTTGTTTTTGTTATTGTTGTATGTTTGTCGTTTACTTCTTCCACTTTTTCGCTGTGTCGTGCGTGTTTGTGTGGAGGCCAGGCGCCAGGCGGAATGAGTCACGTCAGTCGACGATTCTCGCCGGCGACCGCGCACCTGTTTTTTCATTTTTTTGTCTTTGGTTTTTATTTGTCGGATCTCAAATCGAAACTTGATTCTTGTTTGTGTTCGCTTGGATTATCTATATCATTGTGTGGAGTTGTGTTCATCATCGTCAACGTCTACGACAATCCTACCTACACTGTCAAATAAACAGGAGCCTTTCTCTACTATACTGTACTCATCCACAAGAGTTGACAGCTTTTTCAAGAAAATTTAAAAACCATCATCATGAGTCGCCTACAAGAAATTGGAGCCCATGTGCTTCTCTTCTTTTTGGTGTTTGGAATGTCGGCCACGGTGGATATTCCACGAATGAAGAAGCAAATGCGGAATCGATCTGCTTTGCTGATAGGAATTGCCCTTCAGTTTTTGATATTGCCCTTTGTGGGCTTTATCATTGTCTATTTATTGAATCTGAGTGCTCCTTTGGGAATTACCTTGTTGGTGGTGACCAGTAGTCCTGGAGGATCCTATTCCAATTGTGAGTAAAGCATACATTTGGAGAGACATGACGACTTGTTGCAGTGTACAGTAGTTGCTTACCTTTATTTTCCTTTCAATTGCTTCTCGATTCAATCTGCTGTAGGGTGGTGCTCCCTGTTCAATGCGGAACTTGCCTTGAGTGTGACAATGACAGGATTATCAACAGCTCTTTCCGTCTTTATGCTGCCTTTAAACCTTTCCATTTACGTCTCTTCGATATACGATGGTGATGTCGTCAAATCCTTGAATTGGTTTTCCCTTATTTTAAGTTTGGTCGTGGTCATTACGGGCATTGTCAGTGGCGTCTTGTCTTCGGCTTGGCAAAATTCCACTCGGTTCAATTTAAGGGCCAATCAAATGGGAAATCTTGCGGGAATCTCCTTGGTCGTGTACTCGGCACTGGTATCATCGTCTTCGGAAGACGCCAGTCTATGGAACCAGGATCCTAGTTTTTACATTGGTGTTTCCTTGCCGGCCATTTTTGGAGTCGTGATTGCCAGTCAACTTGCCTCCAAGGCCGATTTGGAAAAACCAGAACGGGTGGCAGTCGCCGTCGAGGCTTGTTATCAGAATACAGGAATTGCCACATCGGTAGCCATTACCATGTTCCAAGGAGCCGATGAAGCCACGGCCATTGGTGTTCCACTCTTTTATGGCATTGTCGAGATGGTCGTCCTGGCCATCTACTGCATTGCCTGTTGGAAAATGGGTTGGACCAAGGCACCTGCCGACGAGAATCTTTGCACCGTCATTACTACCTCGTACGAAGTGGAAAATGCTCGTCTCGATTCACCCAATGCCATTGAGGTGGTGCACGGACAAGGTGATGGCGGTGATGAACAAGACCTCGACAACATGGTGTTTACGCAAACCAATGAGGGTTACAAGGTCGATGAAGGACAATTCGAAGAAACCTCTAATGCCGAACGAATATCCAAAGACAATATCAACAAATTGCCGGTAGACGATAAGGAGCTCATTTAATAGATTCACACTCGCACACATGTATATAGCCTTCTGTCAATGGCATGATGTCCAAAGTCTATCTTTAAAAATTAAAAGTATCATCATTTATTCTATAATGTGACTTATTGTTGGTACTATTGACCATTGTAATTGTTATGTGATCCAACTCGTTAACTCGTTGTTGTTGTTGTTGTTGTTGTTGTTGTTGTTGTTGTTGTTATGTGATATTTTGGTCTCTTAGCTCTGGGTATACCGTTTCCAGTTCACCACTGGGTTCTTTTCGAGAGTTCGGTTTCTTATCCAAGTTCTCTAATGAAAAGAAGGTAGTGAATATGTGACCTTCTTGTGTCTCGGCACTGGCATCGTCATCGGTAAACGCGACTTCGATTTCTTCTGACTGTCCAATCCGTTCTGCTTCCAATACTTCGTAGGTTGTCGTTATCATTCTCCAAAAGGAAACATCAATCGGTGCTTTCGTCCATCCAGCCTTCCAACCAACTATACAGAAAATTCCGACAAATACTGCCTCGACAATTCCGTAAAACAATGGAACACCCATTGCTTTGGTCACTTCTGCTCCCTTGAACATGGAGAGGGCCACCGAAGTTGCAATTCCGACATTTTGGTAACAACACTCCACTGCGACAGTGATTCTCTCTGGCTTTTTCAGGTCCACGACAGTTGCCAAACCAGCCGCTATCAACATCCCCAGTATACATGGCAACGAACAGGCGGCATAAAACTGGAACCCTCGCGACCAGATTCGGTCTACATGTTCACCCTCCGCAACATTCCCACCACCCGTGTTGGCCACTGTTGCCGAAAAGATGACCAAGAGCAATCCAGCAACGTTTCCAACTTTGTTGCAGACAATATTAAATTTGTAGGAATGTATCTTCCAGGAACAAAAGAGTCCAAACAAAATGGCATATATGACCACTGCCAAAGAAGTGAATAGGGATCGCCAATCGAGTTGTTCCGTGATATCCGCCGAGTACGCCATCTTGGCATACAGCAAAAGGTTTGCTGGAAGCGCTGCGACGGAAAGAAGAGTTGAAATCGCAGTCATTGTCACACTAAGTGCAAGATCTGCATTGAACATGGAGCACCACCTAATACAGCATAGAAAGAAAGCGAAGAAAGCAAGCGAAGAAAGAAAGAACAGGATAATTGTGAGGAATGACAAAACCTTGAATCAATGTCAATGGCTTGATCAGCTTGCGTACCAATTGGAATAAGATCCTCCAGGACTACTAGTAACAACCAACAGCGTAATTCCGATTTCAGCGTCCAGGTCAAAGAGTTTGACCATGACGAAGCCCAAAAATGGGAGAAGAACAAACTGGCAAAATGCTCCTAGAAGCAATGCGTTCCTGTTTGTTAACTGTTTCCGTATACAGTCAATGTCTACTGTGGCAGACATGCCAAATACTAGCAGGAACAGTAATATATTCCCCGTCACTTCTAACAAAACCATTTTGGCAAGTCAATAATATGATGTTTCATCAATTGCTTTGTTGTGGTTGTTGTCTTTGGTTGCAGATATGTCTTGGACTGGTGAGCATGCTGCACCGGCTCGCGCTCGCTCGACCAATCCAAAATAGGTTCGCACAAACTTGATCTCTCCGATCAAACGAAAGAGAATGGATTGCATCATTCGTTCCTACTCCCAAGTCCTACTCTCCGAAGTCGTTATTTGAGCAGTATGTTTTGTGAAAACTATTTTACGGTTCCTTGCTGTACATTATTTTTTTCAATATACCAAGTAAAAGCTGTCACTATGTATTTTCAATTTATGATCGCCCTATTTGAATGCCAACAAGACCTGGCAATTCTTTTTGAGATGATCGTCATCAGGACAGGGGAGTTTTCCATAGTTACTTCGTTGAGGGCTTGTCTTCGGGAATGTCAACAACCACTGGCATCTTGTGCAAGTATTTGCTAAAGGTTTCCTTCTTCGTCATCAATTCTACCATGAAATGAGCGACATTATTTCTTGAGACTGTTTGGTCCCCAAAAAGTGAGACCTCCACTTTTTCTGTAACGTTGTACTTTCCAGTTGCTTCTTCTTCATTGACCAAGTTGGTCGGTCGAACAGTCACCCAATCAAAGCTGGTATCACCCAATAGATAGGCTGCGACACCTTCGTTGTCGGCATGAGGAGGAACCAAGTATCGAAGCATAAAAATTATGAATCCCTCGAGGTTGCTTCTGGGAGGGTCAACGCCATGATGAGCCACTCCATCTGATCCCATTAAAATGAACTTGCACGAAGACGGCATAGCCTTGGTCAGTCTCTTGGCTGCTTCGGTGACGAGTTTGCGGTCTTGAAGATACATTCCTTTGAAGCTCATGTTGTGTCCAAGGCAGGAGACTACAAAGTTGCAATCCTTGGTCACTTCCACCAGTTCCTCTTGTTTCATCTCCATGATGCTTGCTTCACGAATTTCCAACTTATCATGAGACGCTTTGTCGTCCTTTAGCTTTTGCAGCATAGACTCTTTGGATCGTGCAATGGCAACGACTTCGTGTCCGGCATCCAACATCATTTGAACTACATGCTTTCCGGTAGCTCCGGTAGCACCAACGACGAGAACTTTGATGGTCATCTATCTTTATTTTTCTTTTTGTTTTCTTTGCTTTTGTATTGAATTTGTGAGAGTTGATAATATATACAAAAATCTCTTCAAAGATACGATTTGACTAATGATCACCGGTTGAAGGAAAACTGCATGCACTATCTTTTGCTCGTGTAGGGCCCATGAGGAACATCAAAGATTTCCTTGTTGTTTTCACGACTTCACGCGTGTTCGTGCTTCCCCGCGACCCAACATTTCGATCACCACTCACCACACGCCACACTCACGGTACTGTCAAAAAAATACACCTCGACGGATGAGCATGAAGTGCTTCTCCTATCAAACGACGATGCCCAATCGATCTCCCACTACAGTATGATACTGTCGCCATCATTTATAAAATGATACAAAACAGCTAGTGAAGACTGTACATTTTGTCGTCTATCTATGACATTAATATTTTACAATATGCGTAACATCAGGCGGCCTAGCAAGGCACCTTGCACTCCTTTTCCTTGACCGTTTTCTTGTTTCTAGCGTTTCTTGTTGAATGGTAATAAGACCCGACATGAGTATTGTCAACAACCACTGGCATCTTGTGCAAGTATTTTCTAAAGGTATCCTTCTTCGTCACCAATTCAACCATGAAACGAGCGACATAGTTTCTTGAGACTGTTTCTTCCGCAGCAAAGAGTGCGGACTCGAACTTTTCTGCGACGGTGTATTTTCCAGTTGCTTCCTCCTCGTCGACCAGGTTGGTCGGCCGACCAGCCACCCAATCAAAGCTAGTATCAGTCAATAAATAGGCTGCGAAACCTTCGTTGTCGGCATGAGGAGGAAGCAGCCATCGAGGTAAAAAGAGTACGCATCCCTCGATACTGCTTCTGGGAGGGTCAACGCCAGGAACACTCGCTGCAACGGTTCCCATTAAAATGAACTTGCATGAAGATACATTCCTTTGAAGCTAAGGTCGTGTCCAAGGCAAGATACTACAAAGTTGCAATCCTTGGTCACGTCCTCTAATTCTTCTTGCTTCATCTCCATGATGCTTGCTTCGCGAATTTCCAACTTATCATGAGACGTTTTGTCCTTTAGCTTTTGCAGAATAGGTAGACTCTTTGGATCGCGCAATGGCAACGACTTCGTGTCCGGCATCCAGCATCATCTGAACCACATGCTTTCCGGTATCTCCGGTAGTACCAACGACGAGAACTTTGATGGTCATCTTTCTTTGTTGTTTGTGTTGAATTTGTGAGAGGTATAGTATTCTTCAAAGATGCGATTTGAGTAATGCAAAATATCTTGGCTTGCGCGAGCAGCTTTGCTAAAAAAAAAGCATAAAACTTTCACTGCGTGTTTTCCACGACCTTTTTATTTTTAAAAATCGGCTTGTGCCGTTTTCTTGCGACCTGAACAGTTTGATCACCGTTAAAAAAGCGAGGCTCCAACGCCTAATGCCTAATTACTCTAAACGAAACGGTTCGCTTCCGTTGAAATCCCATTCTCCACATTCTCACCAAGTTTTCATGATTTCACACCACACCAGTAAAGTATAAACAACGCATCTCTCCTCCAATATGAACGAACTCAAAGAAGAAATAAAAAAGAACGTCGCCACAGCCCAAGCATCCACAAACAAGTTTGCTGAAGATCCTTTATGGGAATCACAAGCATGGTTCTTGCGGACGCGACTAAAGTTTGGCAACGACTATCAACAGTTTTGGGAACACACACAAGGTCAAATCAATGATTATGTCACCGACTTGAACTCGGAGGATCAACAGCTAGCAAGAAAGGAAGTTGCTGAAAGCTTTACTCTTGCGCTCAAAAGTGGATTTGACGATTGTAACAAGCAAATTGACTCGCTTTTGCAAAATGTTTTCCAGGTCAAGCAGATAGAGAATGGCAGCAACGATAAAGAAGCAGCACCCAAGCAGCTTGAGAATGACGGCCATGCTGTGAAGAAAGAGCTTGAAATCATCAGTCTTGTTGATGTCGAAGATGAAGAATCAGTCAACCGTCGTATGAGAGTTGATCCTCCATCGAAGAATGAGATCGAAACGAAAGTGGATCCCGAGCCTTCTTCGCAAGAGAACAACTCTGCCACTACCAGTATTGTCGCAATTCTAGAGGAGAGTATCACCGAGGACGAGGATCTCGGAGAGAAGGTGAATTCTAAGTTTATTGATGTAGTCGATAAAGATGTTGAGGACGATGATGCCCCAATCGTCGAACCTCGCAACGACAGACTGAAAGTTGCACTTGCCCACCGAAGTGTGGAACCAGAGATTACAAGCCTAGTACTTGAGGAACCTATTGAGGAACCTATTGAGGAACCTATTGAGGAACCTATTGAGGAACCTATTGAGGTCATTAAGGAAACTATTGAGGAAACCATTGAGCAGGAATCTCCAGAAGTTATTGATCTCACCAATGAAGCTGAAGAAATTGGGGAAGTTGATCTCACTGAAGCAGTTGAAGAAATTGAAGAAGTTGAGGAAATTGGCGAGTCGTTGGTTGGACAAGACAGCCGAGACGACGACGAACCAGCGTTAACTCCACCAAGCCACTCGAGAGGTTTGTCGTTGACTCAAATTCTGCTTGACACATACAACGAAGAGACGGCGCAAGACACTCCCGAACGGTCTATCTGGTACAGTAATAATACATCAATTGATATGGCACTCACGACCATTGTTTCGAGGGACACGGAAGACGAAGACGAGGAGGGACCGACCATTCAAACATCGCCTTCCAAATCCAAGGATGTTCTTTCCGCCTTGTTCGGGCGGTTATCCTCTGCAACTCCATTGATTTTTGCCACTCAAGAGAGAGCCGAAGATGTAAATGAAGGCAGAGAAGGTGCCAATGACTCTGGTCGAGTTGGCGCCGATGCCCGAGTTGGCGCCGATCATGGAGGATCTCGAATGGAGCCAATCGATTTAACACAAGAAAATTAGAAGAATACACAAATTGTAGCACTATGATCGCTGTGCTTGCAATAGACTAGACTTGGAAGACACCTTTCTTCAGACACTCTGTTCATGTCCCTGATTCGTGATGATGTTGAGTAAGACCAAGGAGAGCCATAGCAGGTCTTGGCAATGTCTACTATACCCAGGATTGCATGCGGTAGAGGGGGTGTCTCCTATAATTTTTTTAGAGTTTTCAACTTTTTGCGATTCAATTGTCCACATCTTTGGATTTCAGTTTTATCCACATTTTCATTGCTACAGTACCTACATCAACTAATTGCAACTACCTTTCATTAAGCTTAATTGCTATTATAGGACTATCAATATTTAGTCCTACTATTTGCAATTGATTTTCATTGCGATCAATTGCTAGTAGAATCCTACTTACTTTTGGCAATTAATTTTCAGTTTAAAAATTGCTACAATTAATTTTCAAGAGCAATTATTGCTACCCACCATTTGCAATTAATTTGTAAGAGCAATAAATTGCAACTCACTATTCGCAATTGATTTTCATCTGCAATTAATTGCTTCTCACTGTTTGCAATTAATTTTCATCTGCAATTAATTGCTTCTCACTGTTTGCAATTAATTTTAATCTGCAATTAATTGCTACTCACTATTTGCAATTAATTTTCATCTGCAATTGAAATCGCAATTAATTGTCACGAGTACCATGGTACTGTACACTGTACAGGTACACGTGTACCTGGTACAGTACAGGTACCTACTGCAACGTGAACGGAAGAAAGCGGTCAAACCAATGGATTCAATATTGACTCCATGAATGACGGTCAGGCTACCGTCTTCGCAGTATTGCAGCGCAGCGAACAAGTCCGATCTCCTCATATCGAACTCGTGTGCAAGTAAGTATGCCTACCGGTACCTGGTACCGGTACTGACAGAAAGATAGAGTTATTTCTTTCATTACAGTACCCGGAAAGGTACAGACAAAGGCCTTTGGAATGTGAATGAATGCACTCGTTTGGATCGAACGAATCATACAATCCATCAATTCATTCAATTCATCCGCACCGCTCCGCGACCAACATGATTGCTTCCTCTTCTTGTTGCTTCCGGCCAAATTACATTTTCACCAATTTTGGGCGAATCACGCGATTATTGGTACAGTTGTACTACACTGGTACATTCCAACGGTCACCTCTGTACGTAGAAAATCGAAGCGTCATCTGGGTTTGACATCCTTCTTCTTCCCCAACTGGTGTCAAAAAAAACCATTCTTGTTGGGAAGCCAAATCATCGGGATCCATCACACATAAAAAATCTTCTCCACTGCGATAATCGCGAGGAGTGCCACAAGTCAATGTGAGTGATAGACGAGATCATCGCAAATGTACAAATTTACCTGCATATTTATACCGGCTTAACTTCACCCGTTGAACATTCTGCTAATCTTTGCTTTTCTTGCTTCTCTAAAGACTACATATTCCAAAATGTTGACCGCACGTCGAACTTCCGTCGTCAAGTCGACCTCCACAATGGCGGCTCGTGTTCTTGGTTCTACCGGTAGTAGCCAGCATACGGAGCAACGCCGAACTCTTCTTGGAATATCCAAGTCACTAGATCAGCGTCTCTATAGAATGGCTAAGGGAGTCATGCCACCTATTTCCAAGACCGAGGAGATTGCCCTCGGTTGCGGTACGATTGGATTCGACCGCGACATTTTTAGCGGAAATCCTTCTCTCAAGCACCTACAAGACACATACGATCCCAAGCTTACAGCCGAAGAACAAAGCTACTTGGACAATGAAGTGAATACTCTTTGCAGTCTCCTCAACGACCACGACATTGCCATGAACAAGGATTTCACCAAGGAAGCCTGGGATTACATGAGGGATCATGGTTTCTTTGCATTGAAAATTCCAAAGGAATGGGGAGGCAAGGGCTTCTCTACCCACGCTGTCTCTCAAGTCTTGGTCAAGCTCGGAACTCACTCCATGGATGCCAACGCAACCGTTGCCGTTCCAAACTCTCTTGGCCCTGGTGAACTCTTGGTCCGTTACGGAACTGACGACCAAAAGGAATACTTTCTTCCCCGTTTGTCTGACGGAACTTTGATTCCATGCTTTGGACTTACTGGTCCACATTCTGGAAGTGACGCCACTTCGTTGATTCAAAGTGACTGTGTTGTCGAAGAACGAAATGGCGAGCTTGGTGTTGTCGCATCCTTCAAGAAGCGATACATCACCCTCGCACCCGTCGCTGGAGTTGTCGGTCTTGGATTGAACTTGGCTGATCCAAAGGGCCTATTGAAGGGACAGGGAGAAGGCGGTTTCACGGTTGCACTCCTAGAGTAAGTTTTTGTGAGGCAGTGCTTGCGTCAATTGATTTTTTCATTATGCTAACGACCATACTTTTTGGAAATCTTTAGACGTGATCACCCTGGTTTGAGAATGGGTCCCAGACACATGCCATTGAACTCTGCATTCATGAACGGTACCGTCGAAGGTGAAGACGTCTGGATCCCCATGGACAGCATTCTTGGAGGACAAGAGCGCTGCGGAAAGGGATGGCAAATGTTTGTCGAATGCCTCGCTGAAGGCCGTGGAGTTAGTCTCCCCGCCGGATCCGCTGGAGCTGGACGTGTCATTGTTGGAGCCGTTGGTGCATACTCCAGAGTTCGCAAGCAATTCCGCGTTCCAATTGCCGAATTTGGAGGAATTCAAGAGGCACTTTCCACTGCCGGGAGTGATGCCCTCATCACCATCGCCGGAACTGATCTAATGAATGCCATTGTTGACAACCACGAAGCTCCAATGGTTATTTCGTCTATCATGAAGCAAAACTGTACTGAGCGTGGCCGCAGAATGGTCGAACACGGAATGGACATTGCCGCAGGCTCTGCCATTTGCAGAGGCGACAACAATTACCTTGGCAACACCTACATGGGATTGCCCATTGCCATTACCGTCGAAGGTGCCAACATCATGACCAGATCTTTCCAAATTATTGGACAAGGATTGACCAGGTGTCACCCACACATGCTTGAATTGATCCAATCTCTTCAAATGCCCAAGGAAGAGGAAGACAAGGCTATCAGTATCTTCACCAAGCAATTCTACAAGGTGGTACACCATGGTCTTACCAACTTTGGTAGCTCTATCACTCGTGGTATCGGTGCTACCTTCTCTACCAAAACTCGCTCCAAGACTGCTTACACTGACGGAAAGAAGATGGTCGACTACCACGAAAAGCAACTCCTTCGCCTCAGTGCTAACTTTGCACTGACTGCTGATCTTTGCTTCACTCTTGGCGGCCGTCTAAAGTTTGAGGAACTTCTCATGGGACGCTTGGCTGACGCTATGGGCGCCATTTTCCTCGGATATGCCACCCTTCATCATTATTCTCGCCAAAAGGGAGTTGAAGGATTGGAGGCAATCACAGAACATGCTATGCTTCGCTTGGAAAAAGAAGCCCAAGATGCTCTTAAGGAAGCTTCTGACAACTTCCCTGGACCTCTAGGACCAGTCGCAAGTACCGTCATGAAGATGGGATGCTTCCCATTGGGCAGCTTGACCAGACCATACTCTTCTCCAAGTGATCAACTCACCAAGGAAGTTTCCCGCATGATCACGACACCATCTGCTTTGCGTGATATGTTCAACGAAAATGTTTACATGGCCCCAGAGGGTGAAACCCATCAAGTCTCTGATTTGATTCGTGCTTTGCCAATCTGCGTGGAAGCCGACAAGATTGCTTCTACCTTGAGACGCGAGAAGAGAGAGCCCACTGCTGAAGAGGTTGACAAGATTGCCAAGGCCGAAGCCATCCGTGATGTCCTCGTCCAAGTCGATGTTTTCCCACACATCACCGATGCAGAGGGACAAGAGGGATATGTCCGACCAGCGCTTGTCGGAACTGATGAAAGGCTGTCTTCTCTAGATCGCAAGAAATTCGCCTAAGCATTATTGTTGCTTGGCACGAACCACCCGCGCATTGCTGTAAAGATTACTGCTGATACATGTAGATTTTAACTAACAAAACATAGAAACAAGAAATTTTCCAACAGTTTGCACCACTACTGTAGTTGTCAGCTATTCTGATCTGCTGGTTGATTGGTCTTGTAGTGCATTTTCGGAATACTACAGTATGCTAGAATACACCAAATATATCTAAAGCTTAAAATCTTGCTATCAGTAGCGACAGCTGTTTGTCCTGACTTTGATCTTAAAACTACACTCTAGTTTTCTAATTGATTATCACCTTGGAACCAAGGCTCTCTGCTCATGAAAGTCGAAATGTTTCGGCGGTCATACACAAAGAAATTATCGTTCTCCTTCCAGGGAGAAATCATCAGTCGACTCCGTAATGGAATGCTCATGTTCGGTGTTTGGAGATATAGTACTATCTTCCTCTTCCACCATCATGGCTTCCCCTTCCCAATACCTTCGGTTTTGTTCCAGTTGCGGAATGGCAACAGTCTTCAGCTCCGGAATAATACATGCAAGAACTTCGTAAGCTGGTAACACGACGAACTGAATAAAACCAATTTGTGAGTCTGGTCTGGAGACAGTGTCTCGATCGCACTGTGGACTCGGTTCCATTCCCAGCTTTTTCTCCTGGTCTCCCTGCTCGAAGAACTCTTCCAGACATCGCTCTGTCCACTGGCGAGAAAGTTCCCCGGGCTTGCCAGCATTGGAAATGTCCGCCATGTGCAGCATGAACGTCAATATATCCCACATTGTATCAGCTTCGCCTTGTTTTTCCTCGTTTATGATCACCCCCTTGATCTTGCTGACCGTTTGGAAATGAAGTTTCATGTCCGTATGAAGAATAGCGTCGATGGTTTTGCTCTTGATTGCCGCATACTGCTCACTATCCAAGTTGCACAAGATATCAAAGTCACTCTCTGTGCCAAGGTTCACAGACTCTGATCGAACCAATTTTTCGGGCTGTACGTCTCCAAAAGGTGACGACTTGATCATCATTGTGAATGCCTTTGAAGCGTGATAATTCTCGAGCACCGAAATATCGTTGTATTGTAGTGACAAGTTGGTCCGTGCCGTCACCTGGTAGCTATTGTTCTGCAAAAGATAGAAACGAATAAAGGAGACGAAACGAAACGAAACAAAACAAAAACAGTTAGAGACAGTACAAATCACGAGACCAAAGAATCTCACTCCAAACATGAGATATTACGTACCAATCCTGGATGGTCGACATCGTGAACAACTGCAGCCAAAAGAATGGAGAAGAGCTCTTCATCAGAGGCTTTGATTTCGGTTCCGGCCATCTGGATCAGAGCATTGAGAGTTTGAACCACATCTGCTGCGTGTACCGCATTGTGGTATGGGTTCTCCCGATAATTGTCCTCCACCAAGCGTAAGTAGAGACAAAGCTTGTCCATGGGAATCTTCATCTCGGATTCGACAAAGTTGTATCCCTGTAGGAACTCATCATCATTGCAATCTCCCAAGAGATCACAAGACTGGGCCATGGCTCGTTGTGCGTGAGGAGCCCCAAGAACTGCCCAACCCATCATCACCAGTGGGTGACCATCGGATGCTTCGTTGAGCGCAAAGATATCAAACTCCCATTTCTTCAAGTTCTCCCACTTAAGCATTTCAAAGATCTTGCACCTTTGCTCCCTCTCCAAGTTGACGTACTCGGTTGGAATGGAAACATCCCAATCCTCTTCGACACTCAAGGTTCGTGTTGCCGAGCTTCGAACACCATCTTGTCGGATCAAGGCTGGTCGTGGCGCTCGCTTAGTGATACCACCATACTCTTTCAGGACGTAGGACTTGGCGGAAAGCGAGAGTCTTTGCGAGCCATTGCTATCTTCGAGCAAATTGATGGGAATGTGGTAGGTCTTCTCCACCTCATTCTCCATCCCACGGAGAAGGAGATCTTGAATGTCCCTCAACCCATTCTTTTCTTCCGCATCCAGACCATTTCCATCATCTTCCAAGAGCTGATCAATGATTTCCACTGCGTTATCCCATTTTGTAAGTGCGTTCTTTGCCTTGACAGTGGACAAGCGTTTACGACGCTCAGTCTTGAACCCAAGCATCCTTCCGACTTTTGCTCCAGTCTTACCAGTAGACTTGAGGACCACTTTACCCGCCTTGCGTCCAATATCTACTGTGTAGTCTAGAATGCCGACACTGCCTCTAACAGCCTTGCCAACAGGTTTCATGATGCTATTGTGGCTGAAGGACTGTTTGCCGATCATTGACCTCGCCATCGACGACATGGTCCCCTCATCACCGGATAAATTAGAAGTATCATCCGCATCGATAGATCCCCGTCGTCTTCTTCCAGAGGTGGAGTCATCAGAAATTGCATGCTCCTCCTTCTTGCTTCTGGTGAGGGAGCCTCGTTTTATCTTTAGAGAACCAGTCTTTTTGGGGCTCTTTGGACCCCGCCCTTTCGTCTCTAGCTTTTGCTTCAGCGAATTGATTTCTTCGTCTCGCTCTCGAAGGATGGCTGCCATATTGGTGAGCCTCCGTTCGAGATCTTGTGGTTCCGCAAGATAGTTGGAACTCATTTTGGAACGTGGTTTCTTTGCATGAAACTATCGATTGAGTCAGTCTCTCTTCTCTTCCTTGCTATCTCGTCAATGCGAATCTTGCAAGTTCTTGTGGTTATTGCAGTATAGTTGAATCCCCGCGTTTGGTTTGCCACAGCAAAAGGTGCGGCTGGAGGTTTCCTTTCTATTGTTAGATGTTTGTTCCACCAAGCAAGGCTTGTGCAAAGGTCTATGTCCGTATAGTTCTACGAGCTCTCCGTACATTACATGAGACCAGAGAGTCGTCTTTATCTCTGGCATAACGCCTTCTCCTTCTGGCCGTCGACGGGAAGGAGAACTACGCCAGTACCAACGCTGTTTCTTCATGTTCAATATTGTGACAGGCTGTAACAACACTCTTTGATTCGACTAACACAATCAATAATAATGGCAAGGACCATATAGTAACAAGATATCATTGTCTCCATTTCATATAGCTTAGCTTACTTTCCTTGACGGGTTATCCACTCAGTCACCAGCTTGGCCCCATATCCAGTTGCGACTCCATTATTGAAGTCCCAAACAGGCCCTGCAATGTCAATGTGTGCAAATGGCTTCTTCTTGTCGACAAAGTTTTGCAAAAATAGACCAGCCGTGATGGCTCCTCCATATCTTCCTCCAATGTTCTTCAAGTCAGCAATCTTACTCTTGAGTTGCTCGTTGTAACTCTTTTCCATGGGCATTCTCCAGGCCTTTTCTTCCGTGACCTTGGCACAATCTTCTAGTTCCTTTGCCAAGTCATCATTCTCGGTAAAGACACCACTCATTCCAGATCCCAAGGCAACCATACAAGCTCCAGTCAAGGTAGAAAGCTCAATAATGGAAGAGCATCCCATCTCCTTGTCGCAGTACACAATGGCATCGGCCAATGTCAATCGTCCCTCGGCGTCGGTGTTGAGCACCTCAATAGTCTTTCCATTGGAGGCAGTCAAAATGTCACTTGGAACCACACCCTTGCCATTGATCATGTTTTCGCAAGCAGCAACGCAAATGTGTACTTCGACGCCTGAAAAGGTTTGAATGGAATGAAACAAGCAAATGCTGAGATGGCATTCATAATAAGTGTCATTGAATGCAGGACGCCGAAATTACTCTCTTACCTTCAGGTTTCAATTGCCCAATGGCACGAGCAGCACCAAGAACAGCGGCAGCACCACCACAGTCAAACTTCATCAGTTCCATCATGGCTGTTTTGATGTTGTAACCACCAGTGTCAAAGAGCAAACCCTTTCCGACAACTCCAACCTTCTTCTTCACCACACCATCTGGAGGAGTGTACGTCAAGTGAATAAATTGAGGTGGCGTTTCGGAAGCACGGGCGACGCCCAAAAAGGCACCCATGCCAAATTCTTCGCATTCCTTGACGCCCAAGATTTCACATTTGATGGTACCATCACTCTCTTCGGCAATGCGCTTGGCGGTTTCGGCAAGACTCAATGAATTCAAGACATTGTGTGGGGCATTGACAATGTCCTTGGTCATATGAACACCCTTGGCGAGTTTCTTTCCAGACTCCAAGGCAGCATCGGCTCCATCCGCAGAGGATCCTTCAACGACAATTGTTACAGATTCCAAGTCTTCAGCTGGTGTTTCCTTTGACTTTTCGCTGCGGAATCGATTGTCGGCGTACAAGGTCGAGTAGAAGGATGTCGACATGTCCTTGAGGATATCGGCACTGGAACCAACAGCCTCTGGCAACAAAATCTTGGCCGTCTTGGCCTTCTTTTCCGAATTGCAAGTGGTAGCCAAGGCCTTTCCGACAGCAGAGCCAACTCCTTCCAAGAAGTCGTCCTTTTCTTCATCAAGAGTTCCAAGTCCAACAAGAGCAATGCGTTGCGACTTGCCGTCCGCGAAGACACGCAAGGTAGGGGTGACAGATCCTGCCGAAGCCCCATTCTTGAAAGCCTTGAAGTTCTCAATCATCAAATTGGAAAGAGCTCCACCCATCTTTTCATCGTATGCCTTGGCCTCTCCACTAATCTCGACCGTAGGCTCTTCTTCCTTCTTGTCATCCTCATCCTCGTCGCTTTCTTCCTTCTTTGGAGCAAACACTCCGATGAGCACCAAATCGGAATCATCCCAGTTGTCTGATAGGCCTGCAACAGAAAGTGAAGCCTCGGAAATCTCGGTCCAACTCATGGTTTTGCATGGCTCATCAAACGACCATGTCTCAAAAGTTTGATCCATTTTGCTCATGTTGCGAACTTGACTGGAGCCGCCTCTATATCCAATAGAATTACTATTAGTGGCGGAAACCAGTGAGAGACTGGTGGCCATCAAATGGTTGGGCACAAAGGCACTAGCATATTGTGATGGTAACGAAGCCACAGCCAGTGTGGTAGCAAAGCTTCTTCCAAGACAATTTCTGCTGCAGAACTTCATTGCTATACTGTGATAATGACTAGTTCTCGCTAGGAACATACCTACCGGTATGATGTCCGTGGTTCGAAATCTTTTGATGTGTTTTTACATTCGTCAGCCGCTTGCAGTCGAAGTTGTCGGACGGAAAGCAGAAGAAAGGAGGTCCGGTGATGAACGTGCTTTGTACTGTAACACGTACCATACTGTATGATAGGAGTTTTTTAAGAGTAAAGGAATTGAACCATGTGCACAGGTGATCCAGAGCATAATGGTGCATCTTTACTTGGTAAATCCATTGTCAATCAAAAGTATACCCTTGCTTCAATGGTGCCATACAGTTCTTAGCAGATGATTGAAACAAGGATATGATTGAAACACTTGATTGAAATGTTGAGAAGTCCTGAGTGGTACTATTTGAGTTTCATTTCGTGAGGTGGCCGACAAGTTCGACTACTCACGTCAGTAGTGAGAGAACACTGTACCAACACATCGATCACAATTCTCAATCCACATGGTCCAGCTCTGTAGTATGATCCATGACATTACATTCCCGTGGTCGGTTATTCTAGTCTCTTTCACACTGCTGTCGCCTCAGCAACATAGTTTCTGTGATGCACTTTCTTCTGCCAGCATCGCTGTGACACCAACTGGAACTTCCAGACCAATCTTGATGCACTCGGATGAAGGTTCGAAGGTCCATTTCGACACGGCATGTGTGGCCAATCCTGTGGTTCTTCCTCCCGATGAATATTCAGACGAGTGGCAGTGCTATTATTATGGCAACAATGGAGGCTGGAACCTTGGCCACAAATCATTTTTGCCGACCGGATCTGCTGGACTGGCCATTTCTGACGATGGGATTACTTGGACCAAGGTGGCCGGTAATGAGAAGGATGGCGCTATCTTGTGCCCTTCCGACAGTGGCTGGGATTGCGTTCACGTTGGAGTCAATGAGGTATTTCGGGTCAGCGAGAATGAGATGCACATGTACTATTTCGGTGCTGACGACAAAGAGGCAAGCATCGGTCCCATGAACATTGTTGGCTTGTTCATGCGCATTGGTCGAGCAAAGTCCACCGACAATGGGCGCACTTGGAAAAAGGACGAGAATTTTGTATTGGACTGTGATGAGTCGGAAGGATTTTTCGCGTCTTGGCCTCGGATAGTACGATTTGATGATGGACGGCCATGGAAGATGACTTACCACAGTTTCAATGGCACCAGATGGCGAGTTTTTGGTGCCGAAAGTACTGATCAAGGTGATACCTGGACTCGAACAGGACTGCTATTGGAGGGCGGTCAAAAGGAAGAAGATTTTGATTTGAAGGGGATTGGAACAAGAAGTGTCATCCCTCGTGGCGATGATCTGTTGATGATATACGAGGGTGTTTGCGCCAACGACAAACATCAATTGGGAGCGGCCATCAATAAAGGATCCAAATCCAATGAGTGGACCAAGCTGAACGATGGTTTGCCCATTTTGAAGTCTGAAGAGGCGCCTTTCGGGGACTGGTGCTATGGCACTATCGGGACTCCTTTTGCGGTAGACATGCCAGACGGAAGTCTTCGACTGTATTACTGTGGCAAGAAACCAGGGATCGAAGAAAAAATGGCAATTGGTGTCATCGAGAGCAAATCCGGTGACTTCATGCCGGGCTCTTGGACTGCTTTGCCATAGATTATATTGCTACAATTTCGCAGCAAGAAAACTGTGCTCAATAGTGAAACATTTTTTGTTACAAATCCTAAATTTGGTAGTATTTGGTAGTATTTGGTAGCGTGGTGGTGCAATCTATTGCTGTTCAGCCAGGCAACGTCCAAAAGTCATCTGATTTTACTCCATTTCTTCTTCGTCGCTACTGTCGTCATCACCAAGGAGGCTTGGGCTCGCTTGCAAATCAACCATTGCTTCTTCGTTATCATGTGGATCCGTCAGTAATAATTGTTGTGTGTCTGTGAACTCCTGCGAGGCTCCAGTGTCTAGCGTATATTCCTTTGACGCTGTCTTCCACCAATCATCGTCACATTGATTCAATCTTTTAGGAGGAGAAAAAGTGTGAGTTGTGCTTCATCAATTTTCCATTCAACTTCCTTTTCCAAACACGCTGACTGCATCTTACTTTTGACATAACAATTTGACTGATTCCACAGTTTGCGCCAATTGTGGATTGACCTTGCGAAAGGAGCCCCCATGTCCACCAACAAGAGACATCGGCATTCGACATCCTTCTACAGGACACACACAAGCATTGGTGGAATATTGATCAATGCAAGACACACAGAATGAGTGGCCACAAGAGCTTAACGTAGTTGGTTGGTCAAATAACTGCAACAACATAGGTGGATCGTGTGAGAATGAATCAATCGTGACGATTGGCATCATCTTTCAGCAAAACCAGGGTATGTAGCGTACCTCGTCACAAAGTGGGCACTTTAGCAGGTTCAAAAGCCTCTTTAACGAGCTTTTCATGCCATTTGTGGCCTTGTTGTCTCCAAGATCGAGTGCGGATTCTACTTTGCAGGTCTCCATTGTCGTTGTGTAATAATAGTTTTGCGGTGGATGAGAATGTAAAATACCCGGATTTATATTCGATGGCGCGAAGTTTCAGCTGACGAGAATATTCAAAAAATGCAACTGGAGAAAAGAAAAAATGGCACCGGTAGTCATCATCAACAAGGAGAAAGATGATCTAAATGATAGATTTCAAAATACATAGCTACTAGAGTACAACTCTCCCAAATTGGGTGCTATTCGTTTTCCTGCCGACTTGACCCTTCACTTCGATCCATTGGCCACGATGGTCGTCCAACCACCATTTGCCGTTGGTTTGCCCCGGAAATATCCTTGGCGGAACGCATTGCTCTTTCTCGAGCTTTTCGTCGCGGTGATGCAATGTCAGGAGATTTACTGTTGGTACGAGCCAACTTTTGGGATCTGTCCGTATCGGCATCAGTGGCATCCGCTTCCTCTGCCTTTCTCTTGTTCATATTGTGCAAATATGCATCCGTCTGCTTCAGCCGCTTCAGCAAGTGTTTGGCAATGACTAGACCGGAAGATTTGCATAAATAGTCATTGAATTTGATACATTCTCCAGCTTGGAGACAGGCTGGACATCCGCCACTGTAACCATGATCGTGAGAGCAAGACGAGCAGGATTCCATGAGATTGATGGCTGATTCAATCAACCCGTTTTCAACAAAGACAGACTTCCAAAGCTGCGCACAAATCCCCGATCCCCCAGCTCGGGCATCAAATATACATAGTCTCGTAGGCTGGTAAACCGAGTGGTCACATTGGACATCCGACATGACCGAAGGAACAAATAATGGGGCCACCGCCAGGATGGCATGCGAGAGTGCATGAATGCCGTACCCAAAATTGTCTCCTGAGAACATCGGGCCTAGCACATTTGGATCGCAATCAATCCAAAAGCCAAAGCTATCAAATTCCATATCTGGCAATGACAATTCGGAGCGCGATAGCTCTTCTCTTGTGACGAGAGAAAGCTTCTTGTATCCATGGACATTGCGTTTGATGTTGACGACGCCGCAACCGGCAAAGGAACTGGAACTCGGGTCATCAGAGTAGAGTGTTGATACATCTTCGACAGGACTCTTCTTCTGGGAAGGATCTGATGGATTGTAAAGGTCCACTCGTTCAATCTGCTTTACCACAGTAATCTTCAAGTTGCTCAGCGGGCGAGTAAAGTAGCGATGAGTACTTGGCTTGGCAAAAGCACCTAGTTTGAGAGTTCCGCGGAAGCCTTGCCCGAATGGCGGAGGTCGAGTCATGGATACCATCTTGTACCTTCTTCCACGATGCATGATAATGGCACCAGGAAATGCATGATAGAAGACTCTGGAGTATGGAATCGTATCCATCACAGCAGCCTCACTACAGATTTGATCCATTCTACCGCCTAAGGATATTGAAGCAAACGTTGACATGGTGAGGAATAGGGCTGATTCAGCACAGTCAAATGGAATCTCCACGTACCTTGCATAGGGTGAGACATATCCACAATGTCATAGTTGACACTTTCCATGGAACGAATGGATACTTGCATCCATGGATTCTTTATTGATGGGTGTGCCTTGTAAATAACAGCGCTTCCTTCCTTGGTTCGCACTCCAACAGTTTCTTTTTCCACGGCACCTTGTACTTGTAGCGTTTCCAAGGCCTCCTGGTAGATATCTTCTGATCCAAAAAGGTCATAGTCACAGAGTAAGTCTTTTTCCTTGAGTTCATCTGGATCTTGAGTCGATTGTAGAGTCAAGACATTGGCGTGTCCAGTCAGTGGAAACTCTTGTCCGGCACATAAAAGGTGCCCCTGGACAAGACCTGGATAAATGGGCATGGATAGGGGAGCCGTTAACCCCCGAGTTAGCAGACTAGATGGGTGTCGCCATAAATGTTGATCGACAGGACCGTTGAAGCAGATGCAAATCGCCAGTGACGGTTTGGAACTTGCCGCGGCACCCCTCCCAGCCCTCCCAGCCTGCTGAAGAAGAGAGGCATGAGTGCTGGGAAACCCACAGTGTAAAGTCAAGTCAACTCCTCCGATATCCACACCCAGTTCCAAGGCAGATGTACCGACAACTCCCAGTAGCTCGTTCTGAAACAACTTTTGCTCAATTTGACGCCGTTCTAGTTTTGTGTAGCCACCGCGGTACGATTCCACCTTGGATATGAATTTTGCTGTTTCGGGTGACTGCTTCAACGCCGCCAATGTGCGTTCGTACACCCATTCTACCAAGCCCCTTGTTTTGCAAAAGGCAATGGTTCGAATACCTCTGGTGACTGCTCTGGCAAGCAGCAATGCAGTTTCATCTGCGGAGTGCCGGCGTCGAATGAATTGCTTTTGTGGCAACTGTGCATTTTTTGCATTTTGTCGATCTTCTAGCGTTTGAGACAGATCCACAGGCCCGAATACGTTTGGAGCATTCATCGTTTCGGGTGGTTTCTTTGACTTCTTCTTCTTATTTTTCGGTAGCTTCACCATGCCCATGTTCTTGCCGTTCGTATCCAACAAGGGAGGATTCCAAACCCAAAAGTGTTTGGCAGCTCGCGGTGAACCATCTTGTGTCACAATGGAAACCTTTTTGCTTTGTGGAATACAGCAAAGTAGTCGAAAATGGTGCTCTGGATGTGCCAAGGTAGCGGAGCAGGCGAGAAAAACGACGACAGCGTCCTTGTTCTCGGAATGCAAGCAAGCAACTCGATACAATCTAGCCAAAATCATTGCCACATGGGCACCAAACACACCTTCGTACATGTGGGCCTCGTCGATCACAACATATTTCAAAGATTCAAAGATTGCTTTGTACATGTGTTTCCATTGAGGCAAGATGGAAGCATGGAGCGTATCTGGATTAGTCAGAATAATGTGCGCCGAATCGGCAACGTCGGCTCGTTGCGAATGTGGAGTGTCTCCGTCCAGGGTAGCCACATTAATCTTGTCGTCCAGTTTGTGTTCTACCAGCCATGCTTGAAGCTTTACAATTTGATCTTGCGCTAAAGCTTTGGTCGGAAACAGCAGCATAGAACGATGTCCTTCTATAGCTGCTTGCAACACCGGCATTAAGAAACAGATGGATTTTCCAGAGCCAGTTCCCGTGCACACTAGGGTAGGTGTAGATTGCAAGGCAGATCGAATAGCTATTTCTTGATGTCGATAGAGACGGCGCTTTCCAAGCAAGGCTGATAGCAAGGTCGGGTGCAACTTTTTGGTCCACGGAATATCATCCATATTGCCCACATAGTCTGCGGATTGGGCAGGATGACTTCCCGCATAAGATATTTGGCGTGGCAAAATGCAACTTGGGATGAGGGATTCAACATCCCTTTCTTTTGGGGGTTTTGATGTGAGGCCAAGAACTTGATCCAGAGCATTCAAGCCTTCTCGTTCGATTTCCAAGACTGGTTCGTCACCGTGATTTGGATCATCTTCTGTGGGGAGAGACCAATCTTTTTTGGCTGATTGGCCAACCTCTGGTTCATTATCAGCATCTTCTTCTCCTTCTATTGTTGGCTCGATTCCATTCTTGGCCAATTTGTTCGCAGCCTTCAATTTCTTTCTTAATTCTGCAAGCCTTCGCTTTGCTGCTGTTTTTGTACTCCCGGTCAGCCGCTTGTCGCTTCCATCTGGACTAGGGAACCCAATCTGGAAATCTGTTTTCGCAGTCTCTGTTTTCCCTTGAGACCATTGCTCTTCAAACTCTTTTTCTCGCTCCTTGCTTAAATTGAGTGGGAAGGCCTGAAGAATGTTAAAATTCAAGAGGTGTTGCACATGGGCGAACGGAATTTGTTTTGTTGCTGGCAACGTTGAGTGAAGCTTGTCGACTCCAATCGCACTTTGACCTGTAGCCTTTGTCAAGAACTGAAGAATAGGATCCAGTAGTTTTAGCGATCGCACAATGGGATCGTCATCCTTTGAACTCATGTGGTATTTGCTGCTATTGTGATCATCATTCTACATCATTATCTTATCTTTCCCGCCGAGATCCGATTCGACTCAATCGAATTGAAACTGTCTTTTTGAATATATTGAATGTTCCTGCGTACCGGTACTCAGCCAGATTTTGTTTGGAAGAAAGGATCATGAAAGCAATTACTATTTTAAAAATGTATTGTGTATACAAGGGTAACCTATTATTTCGAAATGATAAGATGCTAAAGGGACTGATGCACCTGTTCTAGATACTTTGTCGCCAAAACTTGTCTCTTTTTGCAAATAGCAATCATTTTGGGTTTTGGCCTGTTGTGTTTGCAGCCATTTTCTTCAAGCAGTTTCAGGACGTCTAATTGACCAGTGAGTGCCGCCAAGTCTATCGCAGTTCTACCGCTTGAGTCAACAGCGTTCTTATCCGTTGCATTGGGAGACTCGTGAATCATTCCTTTGATAACTTCTAAATCTCCATACTTGACTGAGCAATGCAGAAGGAAGTTTTCTTCGTCTTCGTCGGACAAAATTGCATCAGGGAAGATGGGTTTTCCGTCATGGGATGAGTTGGATATCGGTGACAACGGCCTTGACAAAATTTCTCGAATTTTCGGTCTCCTCTCATCGTACCATGGAATGACGTTGGAAGGAGTTTCGCCTTCGTCATCTACCGCATGAATATTAGCACCATTCTCCAAAACCACCTTAACTATATCCAAACTACCCGTATAACATGCCCAATGCAATGGTGTCCACAGATGAGCGTCTTTAGCATGAATGTCAGCTCCACTTTGGAGAAGCACCTTGACTATCTCCAAATGGCCCGTTTCACATGCCCGGTGCAATGGTATCCATACACATTCGTCTGTGTCGTGAACTTTAGCATCTTGTTGGAGAAGCCACTTGACTACCTCCAAGTGACCGTTTTCACATGCACCATATAATCGTGCCGGTCCATTGGCACGGACGTCGGCACCTTTCTCGACAAGTAACTTGGCTACCTCCAAATGACCGTAACCACATGCCAAATCCAATACTGTCGTTCGAAGCCATCTGTGTT